CGAGGAAACGACTTCCGGTCCCGGGCCACCCCTCGCGGATACCCCCTGCGGAATCCCCCCGGCGGAATTTTTTGGAACTTACGCGGAGTCGCCGCTCTACCTCGACCTCGGATACCGCGACAAGAAATCCCTTCAATTGCCCCTCCAACAAATAAATACCGAAAAACCGGGACCGCGCTCCTAAACGCAGAGGAAGGAATTCCGTCGAGCATCCTTTGCGGCAAAAGGAACGCCGGATAATCCACAAGGAAGAAAAAAAAAAAAAAAGTCGAGGGGAGGAGTGAAGCATCGAGGCACGTTAACGGCTCCGCGTCGCGGGGATTTAATTAAGTACGTCGAATCGCGAGAGCACGGCGACGATAACCCGTCGGGCTTGGAAACAATTTAACAGTAGCCCATTCCGGGTTTTAATGAACTGCGTCGGATCGGGCAAGAGTGCAGACGGCGGCCGGTAAATAACGGCCGGCCGCGGCGTCGATGGGTCGCGGCAACCGATGCATCGTAAACGCCGCGGCGAAATCGATGCTCCGTTAACTTCGCGCCGTGACGCATGGCCTCGGCGCCGATATCGCTTTACGACTCCTCCTGGAGGATCGGCTCGCAATATCTGCCCTGACTGGCAACTATTACATCCGAAGAGATAGCTGTAATACCAACGACGAGGTCGCGATCGAATCGGACCGAAATCGACCGACCCGCGCGACGGTCGGCGAGAGAATGAGGCGAGATCGGAAGAAGCGCGCCGGCGCGATATCGGGTTGCGCGCGGCGAGGCGACGTTGCGCGGCGAGGCGACGTTGCGCGGTGAGGCGACGTTGCGCGCCGCTGGATCCGCGCAGAGGTGCATCGGCGCATTCGCGCGCGAGGTCGCGCGGCAGGCGGGCGGGTGTCCGCGGCAGACAATGCGATCGGACGGGAGACGAGGCAGCGGCGCGCCCCTTTCGTGTACCGTTCACCGATACCCTCGGCCCCGTCGCTCCTAGGGATGCGCTGCTCTTGTCAACCCCGTTCCCGTCATCCGCGTGTTGCCATATTATCCCCACCCACGAGGATAAACCCGCAACAGCACTCGTACGCGCCGATTGCGCGCTCTGTACCGAGCACTGTTACGGGCGTGCCGCGTCGGATTTATGGATCCGCCGTTTAATTTCGTAAACGTACCCCGGGACGTAACATACCGCTCTTACATGAATCGAGACGCGGAGTAGGAAGTCCGTGTAGAGAGGGATTTCGAGGTCGAAGGTCGCACCCTAGAGGAGAGGATTTTTCACCCCGGATTCTCGGCGAACGACAAAGCGCGCGTTTCCCGCCCGATTAACGCACCCCCACGCTCCCTGCTAATTTCCGCGCGGAATCGCCGCGCGGCTTGGCGGTTCGTGCGAGGAGCAATTCCGGAGATTCCTGCCTCCGAGGAATGCACCTTTGACGGCGACGTCGAGTGCCGCTCGGCTCCAGACGACGACGCCGGGTTTAAAACGCGAACCTTCAGACCTTGGGGTCTCTTTTTGAACAACCCTCCTTGAAAATTATGAGAAAAATCCGGAGAGGTACTGTAGGATGGAATATGGGAAGGGGAGGAATTAGATATGGGGGAATCTGAGTCGGGTCGCAGATCTGGTGGATCTTCATGGGGGGTTGATGTCGCGTATCAGCAGGGAAGACGATTCCGGGAGCCCGGGTCCTTTTTGGGATCCTCCTTGCTGATGCGAACTCGAGATTCTTAAGACAAGGAAAAAGGAAAAGGACGGATTTAAGGATCGCGAAGGGATAGTCGTTTGTTCGGGCAAAGCCGTCGAGCAAGGACCCGTGTAGCTGCGGATGCCCATGGCGTTTTTCATGGCGACGAAGGAACTCCGGCCGGGGTGATACGTACCTCTGTCAACGTCCATGACTTCGGTCCATCTGCAAACTCCTTACCTGTTATGTATATTTCTGGCAAAACGCCCTCCCTCTTGGACAAGACCCTCCAAGTGTTCTGCAAATTCCGAACGAGGACCCTGACTAAACAAAGCCACACTTAGGAGGCTCTAATCATCCGCACAAACATACGTGGTTTCGCGAGCCTCGTTATTTCTCTGGTTTACATATGCAAACCATTCTGCAAACCGACGCAAGTTTTAGACCTACTCCGGCTCGACCTGGGGAGGTGCATTTCGTGCCATCGTTGACACGAGTTGGATATTTCTGCTCATCGTCGATTTCCATCGAGATGGCCCTCTGGGGCACGATTCTCCAGTTAGTACGGATTCTTTTCCCATACGAATGGATTCGCATGAAAAATATTGCATTGTTGCGAAGTCGCGTCTGTGGTCAACGGTCGAAAGTTGTATACGAAACTGTCAATTTTGCATGCGAATGTTGATCGTATGGGTTCGATAATCGAATATCTCCGGAATCCTAGTCTCGGATCCATACGATCAACTTTCGCATGCGAAATCTACACTTCGCAACAATGCGACATTTTTTAATGGGAATTTATTCCCATGAGAAAAAATCCGTATGAACTCGAAAATCGGAGTCCAGGGACCTAATTCTCGAGTTTGTATGATTTTTATTTTTTTTGCAAACGAATGGATTCGCATGAAAAATATCGCATTGTTGCAAAGTCGCGTCTGTGGTCAACGGTCGAAAGTTGTATACGAAACTGTCACTTTTGCATGCGAATGTTGATCGTATGGGTTCGATAATCGGATATCTCCGGAATCTTAGTCTCGGATCCATACGATCAACTTTCGCATGCGAAATCTATACTTCACAACAATGCGATATTTTTTAATGGGAATTTATTCCCATGAGAAAAAATCCGTATGAACTCGAAAATCGGAGTCCAGGGACCTAATTCTCGAGTTTGTATGATTTTTATTTTTTTTGCAAACGAATAGATTCGCATAAAAATTTTTGCATTGTTATGAGAGTCGGGTCCCAGCAGATAGGACAATCCGTTCGGGAGTGTTCCGGGCCAGAGCAGACTCCGTAGGCGTTGGCCTGGAAAACAAAAGAGGGGAAATAAAATAACCAACTCGTCAGAGCCTCTGATCGCGATCATCGATCTTCGTTTCTCCGCTCGCTCCTAGATCATTGATCAGCTGAATATCCTCCTTGTACTCGCGATACGAATCTGCAGCAACATCGCCGAGGCCGGGGATCGGCTTGGGCCTGGTGTGTGTCATCCGATCCCACACGACTCGTGCTTAGTTGAAAGAAATTAATTGGCCGATAAAAAGGAGTAACAAAGTCGCTGGATACCGGAGAACGACGTCTCCCGAAAGTATGAACGGAGCTCGAGCATGACCCTGCTTAAGGAGCGACGACCACGAGGAGTTTTATCGGAAGTCGCGTAGGATGTACATCCGTGTGCAGTCCTTAAGTCCTGCGGGGTGGAGGGAAAAATTGATAAGCTCCGCGAACAAACGCTCGCATATCCTGGGAATTGTGTCGCCGGGATGTGGACAAAAAGAAGGGCCCTTAACTTTTATTCTGAATTTAAGGTAACATAAAAGTGGCCTCGAAGAAGTTCCGTATATGAAACTTTTCTCCGAACTAGGTGTACCGAATCGTTTCAAAGTTTACAGTGTGAATGTGGGAGCTATAAGGAAGGTCCTGATATCCATGGAATTTCAATTTTTTAACAATTTCTTTATACATATTTTAAACATTTTTCTTAGAAAATGAAATTTCAAGGGCGTCGTCACCTTTCTTGTAGCCTCCATGTTCACTTTGTTAGGTTTGAAACGATTCGGTACACCCTATTCGGGAAAAAGTATCATGAACGAGTGATTGCCACTATCACACCCCCTTAATCCTTAGCGCTCCATCAGCTCCGCTACGAAGACATCCGTCATTTGTTCCGCAACTCGCGAAGTACGAAGGGTTAACAATATGTATTACAGTAGTGGAGGAAAATTTCTTCCGGGGTTTCTGCATAATGAGGAAACGGTGCCAAGAAGATGGAGTCCAAAGTGGAGACTCGTCGAAGGGTCGAAAGTGATCTTTGCCCGGCATATTGTGCTCAAAGGACTAACGACTAGCGAAGGCTCCATCGAACGCGATTAAGCCCCTCTCGCTCGACATCTTTCTCGAGATTAATGGCCCGTATCCAGATAGGCAGGATTCTCGTTGCATACCCGATGAAAGGAAGCCCGAGGGAGCGCGAGAGGGACAGAGAGGGAGCGAGCTTCCATTAAATGAAATCCAAGAAAAGCGAAAACAAGAGCGACGAGAGCGAAACCATTCATCGACGTTCCTTGGCGAACAATGCGACGAGACGAGACAAGTTCGCTCGGTTATCGCTGTCTCGGGAAGAATCGAAGAGACACGGCGAGACGAAGAGGAACAATGCAAATGGCCTCCTCCACCCCCGCCTTCCCTCGCCGTCTCCGAGGAACCACGGAATTTTCCGACATTAATTCCCGCATAAATCCGGATTTCGACTAATCAACCCTCGAATTGACATATCTCATCTTCGGGACTTTGGCAAATCCCGTCTCCACCGTGTAACGATTAATTACTTAGACCAGCGTGAAGGCTCAAATTGAAAAACGAGGGTGTCTAGTCGATACAAAAAAAAGGAGTAAGGAGGACAATGGAAGTAGACGTCTGCCTTCCTTCCTTCCTTGAGGTATCTGGGGACCGTCTTCAGCAACTCGTGGCTGTTTAAGTCCTTCGAGGATGGGTATTCCGGTCAGAGATATCGATCATGACCGGGCCGAGTTCTCTGCCAAAGCACAATAGAGATGTAGAGAGGTCGAGTGCTGGATGCTGCGGTACCAACCCTTGGACTTCGAGGGATGGACACCGATATATCGAGGCCTGTGATCGACCCTCCACCGCGATTCTAATGGAATTAATAGGTCCTCATAGCCGTACAATGCACCGCTAGAAATAAGCTCGTTGCTTAGAAAACGTCGGCACGATCGATCGTCACCGACGTATTCCGTACAATTGAAATTTGACAATGTTCTGGAATTTTTTTTGCCGACAGCACGTAGGGAAAGATATAAATTATACGTCGCAACGTCGAACGCAGTGCTCGTACGTGTGCAGAGGAACGGCGAACCACCTCAGCGTCTTCTTTTTCTGTTTGAAGTGCCCCTTTTCGTCGCGTTGTTCTTCTTTCGCCCCATCTTTGGGGGGCCGCGACTCCCCCAAAGTAACGTTGAAAGATTTCTTCAAGACCGACGACGCGACGCTGGGGTCCAGCTGAAAGGAGGAGATGTATTAACAAATAAAGTATCTGGAGGCTTCCGTGTATCTTCCATCGTACACGGTAATCCAAGGGGCCAGGGTTTTGCGACATCCCTCGATCAGCTGTTCCTCCGCGCGCAATGACTCCACCCTTGACGTCTTCCGAAATGTCTCTGGACAATTCATAGATTCCTGGCGCTACAAACGAAGAAAAAAGAAAGAAACCATTGAAAATATTTTATATCTACGGCTCTTACAATAGATTAGAATTTTAGAAACCTGGAGTATAACGTTCAGTCGGTTTCGCCAATCGGCTGGTCCCGGATGCGAAGACGGCGCTGAGTTTGCAGCACCGGAAGTCGCGAGGATTCGTAACCGCGTTAAAGGCTAAGCTCGCCTCGTAAGTGGTTGGATCCGGATTTCCCTGGAATCGTAAGAAACATAGTTGATAAGAGTGAAATTAAGGGATCTTCCATCGCACCAGACATTTCTGGGGGACTTTGGGAACCTTCATCTCAAATCTCCACCGCGAGCAATCTTTACGGATTCATTTCCAACCTTGATTTCCGCAATTACCGTACCCTCCCACCCCGCGGGCGATGAGGCTCGGTGTGTCCAAAAGCCATCCTAGAAAAGAAAAAAACGGAAAAAAGCCGAAATGGATCTTCCCGGAGGCTGGGCGTGCGAGATGCGAGCCGCGGAAGCAGCGGAGCCAACCCGAAACGGGGATAACTGAGAGAGCGCGGTTTCACCGGTAACCCCGCAGCGAGCCACAGGTGCGAGAGAGACGCACCGATGCGGACTCCACGGGACCGAGAGAGACGCACCGAGCGGAGGGCTCCGGCCATTCGCAATTCGCGTTGCAGAGACACAGAGCGCGGGGATTGGCTCGAATTTCCGGCTCAGCGGCCCGGAAGTGATTTCTCCGCGCGGAGCTACATCGACACGGGAACGTGGAAATGTCCCGAGCGCGACACCCGGACGTACGGAACGTCATTTCCGGGGACTGAGTTACGGCCGGGGCGCGACCGCGAGCGTGGCCGCTCCTGCCGCTTCGGGGAGCCTTCGGGGACCTTCTACTGGGACTCCCAGAGGCTGCTGGATAGGTCGACCCCAGCGCTCCTTCGACCGACCGCGGAACTATAAGGAGCCGACGAGAGCGCCTCTAACGACGAGACTCTAAAGACGTGCACAAATGCTTCAAGCAATGTTTAAGGGGATGCGAAAGTGGTATCCGGAGGGTTAATTAAACACATCTCCAAACTAGGTACACCGAATCGTTTCAAACCATACAACGTGAATATGGAGGCTATAACAAAGGTCTTACACTCGTCAAATTTCAATTTTTTTTTAAATCATTTTTATACACATTTTTTAAATTTGGCATAGAAAATGAAATTTAAGGGATTTAAGGATCTCTCATATAGCCTCTATGTACACGTTGTAAAGTTTTGAACCAATAATTTTGTTATGTCGAAAATCGATCTTGAAGCTATGCGTCTTGAAAGATGTAGAGGGGCCTTAGAAAGGGGTTTTCATTCTTTCAGAGTTGGGGTTGGTTTATATGACGGATTTTCGGGGGCATTGGCCGACTATCGGGAAGATCCTGATAGTCAAGGGGTAGAGGTCGATCGGCCCGATCCCTCCCTATCGCTCTCCGGTGTCCTCGCACCAGGACCCCCTCGATTAACGACCAAATTGGATCCTGGAGGCTACATCGCCTCGGGTACAGATGCAGAGCTTCGGAATGCATCGCCATTAATTTCACCGACCTCGCCCGATTATCTTGTGCCACGAGGATTACGTCCTGGTCCTGGCGTTTTTTAGGGGGCCTTGAATTCCGGCTTTACCACGGAATTAAATTAAAAATTAATCATTGTGCTTTTGTAGTCTCATTACCGATATCACGGTTGGACGGAAACGCTCAACCGTAGATCTAAAGACCGCATGGTGGACTCGAGTTTTTTTAGACTTGAAGTCCTGGGAGATGCCGAAGTCCCTTAGATCTACTTTTTCGATTTTCGAGAGGGTGTCCGATCCTCTGACGGGAATCCTTGGGCAGCTCCTTTTACACCGACTCTTCCACTTGTAGGCCAAGTCCTCCCTGCCTGTGTAGTAATCCCCAGGTCCTGAAATTCCAAAAATCCTAAAATAAATCCTGACTAAAGCGCATATCCACTCGAATTTTTTACCTGGGAACGAATCCTGGCACTTCTCTTTGAATCTGGGAACGTGCGAACCAAAGGAAGCGCATGTGTAGGATCGGAGACCAGCTGATTTTTTGGAAATGTATATTCCAGGTCCTGGAGTGTCCTCGGAAGAGTAGGGGAAACGCTACGCAGAGAATGAATATTACCATCTTATTCAGATGAAGTTGTACCGATGAACCGAAATCTCGTGGTGGAGAAGGTGTGACCGATCTTCAAAGCAATGGTCCTCGAGGGAACTACGTACTCCTCGAGGTCGGTGGTGATTAAATTTCCGAAATACCTTCGCACCCTGGCCAAAGGGTGGTGGTTTTGGAGTATAGTCCTCGCACTCGCATTGCTGATGGAAGTCAAAAGGACCTTTGGGAGGATCATAACTGTTGGGTCCAGGGAAATCCTCTCGCACCTTCCTGCTGCAGAGTGCATCCAAATATCGGGGAACTCTCGATGAAGCTCTCTTCAGTTCTTTCAGTTTCTCATTGTGGATTTTTCCCAAACTGGGCTTTACTTCCAACTCGTAAGTTCCTGGGCCTGGAGTGGAGAACGTCGGCGAATCTTGCCTGCCTGACATCCTACTCCAGAAATTGCCTTTGTACCTTCTGGTATTGAAGTTTACTTCCTGGAAGAATGGACCAGATTATTCTTTACCGAGTAAATGAACGCGTAATAGGAAATACGTGAATCGCACTTGTGTGGGAATATCGTAAAAGTCAGGAGGGTGCTTCTCCTCGGGAGGATTCTTTACGAGAGTACCAAATTGATTGATGTCGTAACCATTGACGTCACGTCGAGATGGAACCGAAACACCGGTTAATATTAACGACCGTGGAGGAGGTCCAATATGAATCTGAAATTTAATTCACTCACTAATTACTCCGTAACGAGTAATTCTGCTACGCTGATTCCCAGAATTTCATACTTTTCCTAATGGTCTTTTACAAGTGCCTTCGTGTCCGTGACAAGATTCGAGAAAATCATTTCCTAGGTCATAACCTGCGGATCTGCTGTACTTAACGGAATTGTTATTGAATCTCTGCTCGGTGAAATCGATACTGACGCCTCCCTAAATGAGGAAAGAACTTACAGGATCGTTTAATGATTACTTATCGAGTAAGATTATACTTTCTGGAATGTGACGTTTAGAGGCTTTCGGATAATAAGCAGCAGGTCCAGGAAAGCGAAACGCATCCTTCGAAATTTCTCCCGTTTTTCGTTCGGCTCCAACCAAGAAGGGATACTGACAACCTGTACAAATATTTATGTCGTAATTAATGAGAGAAATTAAATTGATTACAAATTACCAAGGTCTCTTGGAGGTTTAGAAAAATCTACGGCATCGTAAGCTCCAGGTCCGACAAATGGGCCGGTTTGATATACTCGTTTTGAAAACCTTTCCGCTCGGTTGTACGCCATTTTATTTATAAAAATTATTTCAATTCCCTTTCCTGTTCCTCATTATCGAAAGTGAAAACTTCGAACTCTGACGTAACCCAATCGGAGTCTTTCTAATTGATACCGGAAAAAGAAACTATCGAAATACCAGCCGTAGCATATAAGTGTGTTCATAATAAATTTCAAATTTACGTCATAGTAAACTCCTCTATGTATCAAATTCTGTACTATACCTTCAACCAATACTTGGTAGATAAATATGTCAAATGGTATTCTTCTCACTAAGAGTGAGAAATTTATCCGAAGAGTAACTGCTCGAGCAAAGAGAACTTCCTTTCCACTAGTCGATAACGTACCTCATGTCGACGTTTAAAGTTATCAGTGTTAATCACTGATAAGATGTTTACTGTATTTCTGATAATAGTGCACAATTATTTTTCTCGTCTCGGTATCGAATTACCGGAATGTTGACTTGAGAAGTGCGGTGTTTCCTTTATCGAGGTTTCCGGAACCACACCTTCCTGTTATCATTCGACTACTGCACATCTTATACTTCGTTTTGTACAACACCTCGGCAACAGATATTTCTTTCATGAAATCGCGCCGATTTATTTCCACAAAATTTGCAGAAATTTGAACGGTCCAAACTTTTGTGCGAACTACCCTTCCAACGGACGATAACGCGATTGATAACGTATTTTATAATCTTTTTTTATCTACTCTACCAACCGACGCTAATGACTATTAATTATTATGAATCACTGATAATAATACGTTTGCTGTATCGTGATTCACAATTATTTTTCAAGCCTCGATTTCGATTTACCGTAGGGTCGATTTAAAAAACACGGACCGCGGTAGTTTCCTTATCGAGGCATATCAGAACCACGCCTTCCTGTTATCACCAGACTACAACACATTTTATGAACTTCAAAGTGTGCCTCATTTTGCACACCTTGGCAACCGATATTTTTTCCTGGAAAACGTGCCGATTTGTTCCTTACAATTTGCAGAGAATGGAAATGTCGAAACTTTTCTATTCATTGCGTCACGTGCGTAAATGCGTAAACTGGAAAAAAAAATCAATGAAAATTTACATACGCATTGTTACACACTGCATAACTGAACTTGACTCGTGAACGTTGGATACGAGTCGAGGGGAACACGAATCACTCGAAAATATGGGATAATGGAGTAGGAGGTGGTGGGGTACCTTGCGATTTATCCAAGCTATCAGTCCCCTGTATATACGAACGACACGTTGGGCGAGAGAGCAGTTCTCTTGCACCGGAGATCCGATCTACTTGTCAAATACTTCGAATCGTGCACAAGGTAAGTATTTCATTTATTTAGGCCCAAACTTTCTCGCGGTTAGTAAAAATCTCAAGTGCTGATAAATACTCAACCGCGCGTCTGTCGAAGGTAACTTCGTCACTCCGCTAAAAATATCAAGAGGTTCGCATCGCGTTTCCGCCATAAGACGGGTGTGGTGATTAAGTCGCAAAAGAGTGCAGATTTGTTGATAAGAAGGGAGAAAAGAAGCAAGGGCGTTTTAATTAAAATTTGCGTCCATAGGGGACGCCAATTGCCTCGCAACGTCTAGGAAATACATTGAACCGGACAATACCCTAGATTAGGTCATGGCGTGATTGTATATCACAATCTGAACCGTACGTAAAAATCACTTTACGGAAAAAAAGGGATTCTTGCGGCGACGATATTTCATTCGATATTTCTTTCTCTCAGATTAGGTCATGACGTGATTTTATATCGCAATCTAAACTGTACGTAAAAGTCACATTACAGGAAAAAAGTGATTTGTGCGACATTTTTGCCATTAACATTTGATAACGTCAAGTGGGTTTAACATTTAGCAGCCACGCCGCAAGGATGTTCGGCGGATCGTGTACAAACACAAGTCGCGGAAACCGCACGACCTCGACGGATCCAGGTGGCAGGACAACGTGCCACTACTCAGGAGGAGGAGGAGGATCGCGTTCCGGAGGCTACGCAGGATCGAAAGGAGGATCGGGATCCTCTTCCAGGAGTAGCAGTGGGAAGGGTCCATCAAGCCCCAGTGCCGCGGACCGAGCTCGCGACCAGGAGTCCAGGAATGTGATCGCCGAAGCGGGCACCCTGGCGATTCCTGGAGCGGCACTTGTTCCTGGGAGAATGCCGATGAACCTGTCGGTCGCAGGAGTAGGCACCGTCCCCATGTCCGAAGGAATAGCCGCATCCATGTTGGCAGGACTTCGCGCTTCCGTGGCGGCATTGGGAGGATTGGCTCGCAGCGTGGTGTCGGCGACACCCATGGGGATGGTGATCGCCAGCATAGCCTACACCCCCAAAGTGGGGGTGGGCAGCGACCAGGTGCCCGGTCGTACCCCGGAAAACTTCTTCGCCATGGCGGTCCCCGCGCAAGCGGTCAATCTCCCAGATAAGGGTCAATTGCAGCGCATAGCCCAGGAATCCGGCAAAGTTAACATGGACGTGCGAGGGGTCCTAACCGCTGAACAGGACGTGAAGGTCCACGTGGTCAGAACCCCCACGGCGGAGCCGGTAAACGTCGTAAGGGCTGCCAAGGACGAGAGAACCGGGCTTTACGTGCACTCCTTGCCGGAAAGTGGAGTGCCAAATGGGAGGCTGGTGACCACCCCACCCACATCCGTGGTGCCGAATTCCCCGCCGTTGGTGTCACCGATTCCTGACGTCCCGGTAACGGTGCACACTGGTGGGGACGTAAACGCTCCGGTCGCCCCTCCAGCGACCGAGTTCCCTATATCAGGCGGGAGCTCGATCAGAGATACCGTAGTCGTATACCCCGAAGACGCGGGACTGGAGCCTATCTATGTTATGTTCAATACCCCCCGAAAAGGTGTGAAACCCTCTGGACACGATTATCACCAGGCCCCCAAGACGGAGGATATCACTGGGTTCCCTGGTCTTATCAAGCGACCGCCGAAAACTCCTAAACAGGGCGGGGCTGGAAAGAGAGCTCGCTGGGCCGACCCGAAGGGGAAAACAATATACGAGTGGGATTCCAAAAAGGGCGAATTGGAGGCGTACAGAGCTAGTAACGGTGAGCACCTTGGTAGCTTTGACTATAAGACCGGAGCACCCATTAAAGGACCGGTCCCTAATCGCAATATCAAGGACTATCTGTAATGTTGTCGGAAGGTACTTGCAAGAGCCGACCAAATGGCAATTACTGCTGATATACTTTGGTACTATCGAATTGTGCATTTTTAGTTAAGACTTAAGATAATATTCCGAGTTGTGTCAATTATTTTTAAGGGTTGTGACTGTCGTTCATTATCGCGACCTGTGTAACGGCGTGTTTTGTGATCGTTGCGAGTGTAATTGCGTAATGTGTAATCTTCTTCAGATATTACGTAAGCTGTAAGAGGCTCGAAAAATGGGACTGAAAATATTGCTCGAGTGGTACGACAAGTCCACCGGCTCTTTAGTGGGTAAAGGATACTCAAAGGACTTACGCGACGACGGATCGGTAATTGAAGAACTTGGCTTGAAGATTGACGGTACCGTCAACAATGGAGAATATGACGTGGAGCCCCGGTGGGTGGGTATTCTTCAGAGGTACTTTACTCATCGCATCGAATTGAGCCAATTTGACTACTTCGTTGCCTTTGAGTATCGGGACGAGTGGCCGGAGGATATGAGGACCTTGTCCTGGGAGCTGCATGGCAATCCTGCTGCGTTTAGGCGTAATGATTATTGGCATGTACCGGTTACTCCCGATGTCAGTGGCGAAGTTATTCGGATACATTATACCTATCACGGGAACAAATTCCCGCGGAAGAGAATTTGGTTTTTCATTTTGGGAACTGAGTTCGATTGCGACGTTTCGCGCAATGGGAATAAGGAAACGATTGTTCCCAAGGAGAAATTCATTTCGGCTGGTCAGTCCATTGACATAAAACACGCTGCATTGGCTAAAGGCGGTCATGGTAAATTAGATTACGGTAAACCGCTGGAATTATTGCTAGAGTTTTATGTTAGAATGACTTAATAATCGTTAACACATCCGAATGATTTGGGAAATTGTTTGACCTCGTATTGCCAAGCGTAACTCGTAATGATGAACACAAGAATTTTTGTAATTTGTGATTAATTATATTAGCCACATATCCTTTTTTCTATACCCAAAGAACATTTTGTATTTTTCTTATTTTTATTATCGAATAAAGTATTTTGCATGTCATACTCTTATTAACCTTTATTGTATGTTTAACCCAAATGAATAGGTGTACGGTGAAATTGTTGAATAACCTGATAATTCCTTCTATAAAATTTTACATCCTCGTAGTGGGTCTATCAAAATCTCTCCTAGTCCTTAACTTTCGGAACTCGGTATGTGTTATATTAAAAAGAGCTTATACCGATTTTCATATTTCTTTTTTATTTCTCAATAATAAAGTCACATTCCCCTCTGCATGTCTAACATTAATTTTCAGTTCTCCAACATTGATAGTAATACAATAATGTAACATCTGTCTCTAGAAATAAGATATATTAGTCTCTCGTTTAGACTACATGAACACCGTCATTATAGTTACAACTAGACCTTTCCAATATTTAAAAAATAATCGCTTTCGTCGTGTCTATGCGTAATAACAGCTGGGGTTGTTTTAACATTTCAGTCAATACGATGTTGAAATTTCAAGACACGACACTCTTGCACTTCCTTTTCACAAAAAAAAAAAACGATAAGTCTTTTATTGCTGCATTCTTCACACAGTTTTTATTTTAGCAAAATTGTTTCTAGCACACAAGTTCCAGTTACCATTCAATGCATTTACAGTTCAACTCTTAATAATTCACTGCACGTATGGAACTGTAAACTTTTTCTATGTACTCTTTGTTTTTCTGTATGTAATAAACTTATGACTTTTATAGCATAGGCAGATTTGTGTCAATTGAATCGATAGTTCCCAATCCTGTTGCATGTATGTGTTTGTATCGATTACGTGCAAGTCCTGGGAATGTTAACTGAAGCAGAACCAACTGTAAGTTTTGTTAAGAATGTCTGCAATTTTACTTTCAAACTTACTAAGATAAAGGCGCGACGTTTTCTTTACATCTGAGGCAACTGATCGATTGGCGTAGCGAACTTGAAATCTTCTGGAAAGAGCTTTATTGCATGTGGGTACATTAGCTTGTAAGACTGCCTGATTGTGACATCGGCTACTCCTGCAATGTCTCCAATTTCTTTCTGTGACCTTTTATCTTCTGAAGCCTAAATTTAACATATACAATATAAATGTTGATAACAGTACAATTATATAACGGAAAACAATGGCTTTCACCGGGACGGAAAAAAATCTCTGAATTCTCTTACCTGGGATGCCATGTAAATTGCCGCAGCAGCTACTGAAATAGGAGATCTTCCTGGAACAATGTCGATTTCGACTGCTTTTCTTGCAATATGCGTCGCAGCTCTTTGTACCATGTTAGGTAGTCCCAGGTTTGAACAAAATCTCGACATGAAGTCACCCGTTGTAATAAGATCGACACTAGTTTCCAAGGCTTTCAAGATAAGCTTGAAACATCTCCCTATTTCTTTCTTGCTTATCTTGCTAACTGCACAGATTTCTTTAAATGTACGAGGTACACCTTCCTGTCTACAGGCTATGTACAAGCAAGCCGAAGAGATGGCATCGTTTGCCCGGCCTTTCAGGTTTTTCCCATCATGAACTTGTTTAAAAAGATTATTGGCACGGTCCACAATGGTTTTAGGAAGATTGATACGGTCAGCCATTCCATTAATTTCACGAAAAGCATTAATCAATGCTCTATCCGAACTGCTCATCTGCAAACCTCATTTTTGTTACGTCAAGGAATGTATTTATAAATGTTCGATATATAATTTCAGTATACTAACAGTACGTCGATTTTGATATTTAGAAGCTCCGAAGGCATCGAAGGAGGCAGCTCCAGTTCCCGGTCCAATCATAGTGGATAAGTCTGATCCATTTAATAATGGATTTTCTGGACCACCCACACGAGATGGATCCACTCCTGCCTTTTCGTTGCTGAATGTTCGCCATTCCGACCCCACATCTATCACCCTTTAAATGTAGCAATAATTTAGTTTAATAGGCATAACAACATGAAATTATAGTTAACTAACATACTTTACCCCGTTGTAAATGTTTTTTACCTGTCACCCACAACTAAACCACATTCGGAGCATATTTGATCCCCTGCTCTATAGTCTTCGATGAGAGGTGCATCCGGATGGGAGTAACAGCACACTTTATTGGTATCATGTCTTCAAGATAAAAAAAACCATATTAAAGTAATTATTTTCGTTGTATAATTAACTTCATAATCATACAATTAAGATCTAAATGGTGAAATCTCCAAAATGATACTAAAGTTTCTTGGAAGATTTAGCTTAAAGTTCATCGATGCGAGAACTGCAATAACGGATGTTGCATTTAGAGCAACATACATTATCATTAATTGTACTTGAAATTGAATAAGTATTGTATTGTCAACTCCCTAGTCTGTTGAAATTTAAAGTCAGTTCGTTATCAGAATCCTACATTGACAAAGAATGTTCCATTTAAACACAAAAGTATTTTCTCTCTCCGTGAATTGAGGTTACAAATTCTAAAATGGAACTTGAAGGTTCTCAGAGCTCACGGGTATTTCATACGACCAACGGCGCATGAGAAAATATTATCGTGTTTTCTTTATTAACCTAGCTAACCATGTAAATTAAACGGCATTATCGATAAAAACGTCCTTAAGGAATCTTGCATCGTTGACATTCTAACTTTATTTCCCATTTCACACGTAATTGTATTAAATTCAGTTTCTACAGTCCGCGCCACCCATTCTTACGGACGTGGACTAAATAATGCGGATCAAAAATTAAGAAATTCACCTTGACGAACTAGCCATGCCTCATCTGTTGTCAATCGTGTTGTGCTTTGCTGTTGTGTATAAACAGGTATAAATAGCGAGGCATCGATAAATGCAGTATGAAAGATGTATCGTCTACTAATTAATCTGCGTCTCTCGAATTTCGTTTTCAACTTTCAACGCGAAAAGTAGATAGGTAAATGGCGCTATATACCTGTTTCCATGTCCCCTTCAACGTGTTTTCAAATTCCAGAGTCTTATTGAATGTGTCAAGTGTCACACACAGTGCGGCGCGTCGTCGCGGTGAGGACGAACCAATCAGAACTGCGCTTAAGTCCGCGTGTCACTTCTGATTGGTTGTCCAACTTTGATACGTTTACACATCGCAATCGATGAACTCCGCCTTATAACAAGGAGCGTTTCCATCCCTGTTAAATATTGATCAGTTTCGGTAGAACGCCGCTACGCCGGTCGGCTCTTAATCTCGGGTGCCTGGATGATACCTTGGTATTCCCATTGAATGATCACAAAAAAATATGGATATTCCGATAAGATGACGAGAAAGGGACACCTGAGAGGTCAATGTTCCGTTAATTTTTCTCGAACGTATTGCGCCACCACTGAGGGGTAACAGGTGGCAAATACGTTAGCCGTCCGCATCCTCCACTGGGGGGCAGCACAGGACGCGATCGCGCGTCCCTGCCCGTGAGCAAACTCCCAACTCATCTCTGATGCCTGTGACTTTTATTCGGTATACCTTCGTTGTTACAATATATTCGATGCGATTATACAGTGGTATTCTACAGGTTAGTTTTAGTAAAAAAGAGAGAAATAGAGACAAAAGCGAAGGGACATCTCGTGGGTGCTCCCACCATGCTCGTTGCACCTAGACGGGAAACTCTGTTGGAAGCATTCGACAGACTCGCATGGACCCGAACCCGAATTACAACGGAGCGCTGTTATACCGACTTCATTCCACGAATTGTAGTTTCCTACTATATCGGAGAACGGATTCACAGTAATGGGTGATTTACCGCATAAATGCGTACATACCGTACAAGGTCAAGATGCTACCTACTTGGAATTTAATACGATAAGTAACAATCACTGTTGTACATACGTCGATCCTGATATTGCGAGTTACGGAAGAAGTAGAGAAGTTCAATTTTTACTGTTAACAGAGGTTTATTGCAGGCAACTGCAATCGTCCGTACAGCTCGAAGGGATGACGATGTTTATTGCATTCTTTTTAGACTGAAAACCCATAAAGAACCGATGGATCCATCGTTCTGTACCCATTCTGTACATATTAGTCCAAGGTTGTACGAGTCTGCGATTCCTTCCAACAAAAGAGCGAAAGAAGAATGATTCGATGTTACATAGTATGATATCGGTAATACGGTATGTAAGAATGTACAAAGCTCGTCAGTGCGCACGTCTTTTCCTTTTAAACAAAACAAAATTGCCTCGTTGCTTACCTCCTACCTTCATCGAAATGCATTTCTACGAAGTTACTGTTAATTTCCCGGCTTACTTTGTGGCGACGAAATCGGCGAGTCGCGGAGCGAGATGCAATTTCGCCGGGCGATTCGTTTAATCGTTTCTCTTCTTTGTTTTCTTTTTTTTATTAAGGCGCTCGGTTAAGTTCTACGGTTTTGGCACTTAGAATAAGGTTTACGATTGCACTAAGTGGTACACTGTGATGGGTAGTATCTAGTTACAGGTCTCCAAATCTGGTGCGCTCCTGTGTCTAGTACCTGGGGCTAAGTACGTTTAAAACGGGTTCCTTAACTTATGTCTGCACCTAGATACTACGAATCTATCATGGAACGACCTGTGACAGCAAGTATTTAGATACAGGTATTCGAATTTTGATTTTCACCTACCCTGTTAGAAGAGTGCGATCGCTCTTCAGGTTCGCTAAGGTAATCCTGTTTGGAATGTACTCGGACACGTACCTGTATTTAAATACTCCGAAGAAGTACTTATTTGTCTCATCACCGGTGATACGTCTCGCACACCGATAAGTGATCGGGGCTCCTTCAATATTTTGATAAGAGGTTCCCTCGGAATACCGACATTTCTTAAGGTGTGCGAAAAGTCTTGAGTCACCCCTGTCGCGTCTTTACTTTTTTTGTTTATTAAATCACTATGTTACACGCGTGCAATTCTCTCGGGAAAATAAAAAAAAGGGGCATTTTCCCGAGAGAAGGAGAGAAAGAGAAGAGGAGATGCAATTCGACGAAGGATCGAGTACACTTCCTTCTCAAAAGTGAGATCGATGATCCAAATACGGTGTGGAGCTTTTAACCCGCTAGAAGACGCGCACGAATTTCTCAGCACCTTTCTAGATACGGCTGACATTTCATTGCGATCATAAATCATTTTAGGAACCGGACTCCTCGGTGACGATTCTACGAGGATCAAATGCCATTTGCTTTTGCGAATCGCTTTCCTGAAATAAAGCGAGGCGAAGCTGAGGACTATCGACGGGTTTCCTTACCCTGTTGATCGGTTACGGAGGAGCCTAGAAAAATAAATAACAATTCGAACATAGTTCGCCAATGAGTTATGATCTGTAATGAGTGACTGGCGGAACTCATATCGGTTTCAAGAAGGTTACCAAGTGCATCGGTGGAGAAACACTCCCTCGTCTCTCATCGAATTGCAAATTAAGATGCGATCGCCGATACAGTTACAATGGTTAACTTAACTAAATACACTGGTTTAAGTTGACCGCAGAGATACTGGATGGACGCTGGAAGTTCCTCGTAGCTTGGCTACCGAAACGACGATCAGGCCCCGATGCTCGTTGCTCGTTAATCCGTAGAGACAAATGGCAGTGAAACGTCGATAATTCGAGGAAAGCCTCCATTTTGGAATTTGGAAGTCCCCAACATTGGAATCCTGGTAGATATGTGGCGGAGCATCGAGCCTGTCCTCTACTTCTCAATAGCAGTATCCGTGGTACCTGGAAAATAACGACATTAATTAAATAAAAACACAGGTACCGTACTTGGCGTAAAACGCAAGTCTAAGCCGTACCTAAACCAGTCCAAAATCGGTATGGACGGTGACATCGCAGTTGTTCGGTTTCTCAGCAGCAGCCATGTTGACTTCGATCAGAGTATCGACGCTCTTGTTGGAGCTTCCATTAAGTATCTTTTGAGCGGCAATACTGGTGAACTGAACTTGCATATCGCTCAGGCTAGGATAAGAATGCAAGTCCCCGCGACTTATGGTTTTGTCCAAATTAGGCTCGGAACCTTGAGGAGCTCTCTGTTGCTTCCCAGATTCCAAGTTCTCGATGTACACGTTGTTAAAGGACCCCCCAAATCCGTCGTAGGATTTGGTGGGCGAGGGAGGATTCGAAGCAACGTTGCTTTTCGACCCAGGTCTTAAAAGATTCCTGTAGCTCAACGCGTCCTTCGACAGCGACAAACTGAGCTTCCTCGAGTTGTTCATCGCATCGTTGGTGTTCTTCGAGCTCTGCAAGGCGGTCGCCGGATGTTCTCCAGAGAGTACCAGGGAGTTCTTGTCCACGTTGTTGGTGGAGCCGTCGATGAGGTGTGCCTGGCTGTTGTTGAGCCGATTGGTCAGCTTCAGTTTGTTAGGAGTCTCTTCGTCGGCCTTCTTGTTCTCCTTGTCGGACTCGGAGAACGTGGGTTTGGAGTCCTTCGACGCATAGAGAGAAGAGGGCCTCTCCAGTTTGATGGGCTTCCAGTCCTCCACCTTCGAGATAGGCTTGTACAGCCTCTCTTCCTCGACTTTGCTCTTGAATAGCTTTTCGTCTTCCGTTCTGTTCTTGTAGGCTTTCTCTCCAACGAGTTCCTTCTCCTGCTTCTCCTTCCCAACTGGAATGCTCTCCTTCTCCTTGCTCCTGGACGTGCCGTTCTCGAAGGTGATGACCGACCTCATCGGAGAGTTGTTCTGCTGGACGTAGATCTTGGTCCCGGGTGAACCAGAGATGGTAGTGGTACTCAGGGAGTTAGAAGCCAAAGTGACGCTGCTTTGGATTCCCCTTTGCTCCGGTTGTTGGCCAGTGACAGGACTCAGGTTAGTAGAGACCTGCAACGTGATGGAGTTCTGAGCCTCCTGAAGAGGCGTCAGGGCTCCCTGTTGAATCACCTTCAGGGGCGACGACTTCACCGGCAACGTGGACGTCTTCAACGGCGACGAGGACAGTTTACCACTGGAAATCGATTTCCCGCTGGAATGGGTGGAGTGGCTGGACGAGGTTTTCTGGAGAATTTTGTGCTGCGGGGACCCATTGGAAGACTTGGTTCCGCTTCCGGTGGAGTCATGGCTTGGTCTCCTTGAACTGTGACGAACGCTGGACCTCCCTAAGGTCGCAGCCTTGGCTGGACTCGCATTGGCTGCTCGCACCGATCCTGAACTTCCACCACTTCTGCTAGGCGAGGAATTGGCGGAGTTCTTCTCGTTTTGGGTCGCTGCCCGATTTTGGTACGGCTCTTGATTGTTGCTTGCCGGTAGGACGGAAGCTCGAGACGTGCATCTGCTGAGGCTGGAGCACTTGGAGCGAGGCAAGGTGGAGCAGGGCGACCTGTGTCTTCGGGAACTCCTCGGGGTGGAGTTCGCCAGAAGACTGGAGGAATCCCCGCTTGCCTGGCGTCGATGTCTCCTCGGTAGAGTCGCCGATCGGACGGAACTCGAGTCGTCCCACACCTGGAAGCTGGCTTGCGACTGGTCCAAGCCCTCCATCATCTGTGAACGGTTACCTAAATTTAGGACAACCCCTCCGTACCAAGATGTACCTACTACACACGATTTTTCAGACATTTACCGATGGACTCGCGGCTCTGGTCTGCGTCGCCACACTGTGGAGGTGCACCACCCTGGGATTGAACCATTCTGTCGGAGGATACTGGGCACTGAACGTCCCCATCAGAGGTGCTCCCTTTCTGCGGGAGCTGCGTCTGAAGAGCCTCGACAGAAGGCCTATTTTCTCTGAAAAAATCCCGGAGAAACCTTGAGACAAAGGACGGTCACGGAGCTTATCGAAGGATCGAGGAAGGGTTTGCCAGCTAAGGGTGACTAGAAGCTTCGACCGCGATCCCCGAATACTTTATGCCTAAGGAAACCGAAACTTCTTACACCTTCCAACATCTTCCAAGTTAGGTCTGCACTATTTCTTAAAATGACTATCAACCTTGTTCTTGGGTTTCCGTAGGGCGAAAGTATCGGGTCGGGATTTGAACAGTCTGGGAAAAGCCAAATCGGGAAGAACTCCACATCAAGCTTTCTATGGGACCATCGCAAAGCGTGGTACTTTTTCTAGGGTGGTACCAAATTGGACACCCTACAACCAATCACCCATCACCAAAACACCCCCTTCCCCGACAGGACTCACTGGTTGGACTATGGGGTGCGCTGTCGGTGCTCGCATATTCCGCACTAGAAGACGTGTCGCTTCTGTCCGGTCTTCGAGGCAGCGACCTTGAACTTCCGCTTCGATGAAGACGCCTTGCAGAGCCCCACAGGCGCAAAGAGTGCCTCCTCTCGAGGCGTCCTGGCACCGAGCGACACCTGGCGAACAGGACCTTGTCGTTCGGATTTCCTGGAACAGGACGACAAGAGTTGCAGTTTTATGTATGCCAGGATGGATTTATGTATCGCCACCTAAACCTTAAAAGGAACCCTTAAAAGGCCCTGCAAAGGTTCTCAGAGCCTACCGGGCTGAGAAACGAGGACGTAAAACCGGGAACAAGGATCACGCCATATTTACCTCTTCGCCTAAGATTTTTCGAGACGGTGTTGTTACCTTTAACGCAAAGTTAATACGACTTCGGGACGCGTGAAAGCAAACTGTCCAATAAATCGGACAGATCTGCTCGACGGCGTCCTCGATAGTGACAGGGTATAAAACCCTCCTCTTTTTCTGCAAAGAAACTCTGACGGACGTCTCTCCTTTCAGCCGACTAGCGGGAATAAATCATGCCGCGGTTAATTGTCCAATATAATTGGACAAATTTGGCAAGGTCCGGCCACGAAGAGGTCTCGCTGACAGCCGGTGGAATTACTGCGAAATTGAACCGAGATGTCCAAAGTCGAGGATGAAAGGATCCCCCGAAAGAGGCTGGCGCGGTTGCCCGTAAAAAGGCTCCCGGGGAAATAAGTACACCAAGCGGACATTATAACGGGGTAATGCAGAGGAGGAAGAGAAGGAGGAGAGGAATTGCGCGTTATTTATCTCGGGGCTTTCGGCTAAGAAATTTTTCTTGAAACTCGGCACCGATGGTACGAGCTTCCGTCTCCTACCCGGCGATAAGGCGGGCGTAAATCACGCCAAGTGATCACCAAAAGTGTCCAATAAATTGGACAAGTTTCGTCGCAAATGGCGACCGCAACGTCCGCGCCGGCCAATGGCGTCCTTCGGGGATGTAATGTCGGGTCTTTAATGCGTTATTATTTTTTAATGCCGCGTTTCAAGGTGAATTTCTCCACGCACGTTGCGGGAATATATCACGTGGGAACGAACCGTTCGGTGAAGGGGTCTTAATTAGCCGGCCGAATGCAAAGAGTACGCGTCACGTGGATTTCGATCCTAATGAAGAAGAACCTCCGGTTGGACCCGATGATTGTATCTTTAGAAGGGTCTCGTGAGAACATACCCTAAGGGAATTCAGGGGACGAGGATGATTCAGGAGATGAAAATTACACGTGGCAGTTGTTGATCCCTAGCCCTCACGTGATCGGTGATCTCGACAGCACGTAACGGTAGACAATGTCGTGACGGATGGCTAATATATTGTTGTACTAAACGCTTTCGAGCCACCGCCGCGGGGCGGGCACGTGAACACCTATTTTCCAAGGGACAGGGAATATGAAAGCGCAGAAAAGTGGAGAAAGACCGGCTTGTTGGCAAAAAGGCGGCTAAAGTGGACCTCGAGTCATCCCGGTCGCGTGGATGCACGTCGGCGACATGCGAGGTCTTTTGCTCGGTTCTTTGCGATCCGGCGATCAACTGTACACGCGGTGGTCAACGAAGACTTTCTACCACGCAAATTTCTCAACATCTCGGTTTCCCATTACGTCTAGAAGCAGTCGCGAGGTGGTCTTGCGGGCCGTCCTCGTTCCAGCAGGAACCGATCGGTCCGGTCGAGGACCCAATTGGTCGCGGACACGTAAAGAAGCCGCAGCGGAACCGCGGCGGAATCGCGTCCGATTCGTGACGGGTGCGAACCTTGACCGGACACGAAGTCGGGCTCGTTCACCGGATGAAATAACGATTCTCGGCCTCGCTCGGTCACGACTCCGGCTGGGGGATCAGCTGGTGAGAGGAGAGTCTCCTCTTCTGGGACACCCAGCAGGGACATCCTATGTTTTCCTTTTATCGCGTGTCACGAGACACTCCGCGACACGCTCGCCTTTCTATTCCCGTCCTGGCATAACCGAAAACCCGTTACGGGAACTCCGAGTGACACTCGTTCCCCGTTGACGAGGGACTCGACAATAGTGGGAAGATGGCGACAAGGTCGGAGTTCCTGAACCCTGACAATGCCAGGAGGAAAATGAAACGTTTCCGCTTTTTCCTCCCAGGACCTGTAACGTTGCCGTCAGGGAACCGTCGCCAGGAAAAGGAAACGCCAAGGCAAATTCCCGGGACCAATTACTCATGCTTCCTCGAGATGGTAATACCGCATACCGAGTTTTTCAAAAGTATAATCATCCCGGAGGGCTCACGAAGACGGTGACTCGGAATGCTAAGACGCGAAGATCGATTCCTCCTCTGCGTTTCCCCTCCAGGCTGGAGCAATATTTTGGCATCAACTCCTGCAGAGCCCGGCCAAAAAGTCTCATCTCGCAGGATCCAGGACCTCCGAAGGAGGGGATCAGAAACCTTAATCTCCTACTTTACCGCTGTATGCAACACGTGTCGACTTCGAGATTTCGCGATGCCATTTCGAGTCGATGTTACGGTTCTACCTAGAACCTCCTCTTGGACCTTAAATTGGTCCTGGGGTAATATCGACGATAATTTAAAAAATTCAAGGTCCTAGGTTGGACTTGAAAAAATATTAGACATCTCCATTTCTTTTATCTACAGACCTAAAGTAAGACTTATAGACTGAAATCAGATCCGAGAGCTTATGTTACGCAGATTCAAAGTGGGGCCAAAATATCGACTCGAGCATGGCCAGGAAGTTCCTTCGGTCCGAAGTTGATAGAGTTACGAAACAAGGTTCCGTAAAATGAAATTACCTCCGCAAATGACGTCCGCCAAGTTGGTCTGGACAGCCTGGTGGGTGACATCGCCGTCCCTCAGGGTGAGCATTTCCCCATGGACCAGAGCCATGGCCTCGTCGTTGGTCATCAGCATCCCGCCTTGACCTCTGGCACTGGCCACCTCTCTGGAGCACCTCCTGGAACTCCCCGAGTCCCTTCTGAGCCTCCTGGTCTCCGGGGTGACCACGAAGTACCCTTGAGAGGTGTGGTAGATCTTTCTCTCCTGCATCAGCTTCGCCAAAGCGTCGTAGACCAACTCTCGACTGGGTCGCTGCATCGCTGGGAAGGCGTTCCTCAGGGCCGACCTCAAGGTGTCCAAGGTAGCAGCCTGCCTCTGGGAGGTCAATTCCAAAATGGCCCAGCAAAGGGCTTCCGGAAGAGGCGTGAACTGCCCCTGGGAAACGGGAGCTACCAGACAATCTTCGATGTCCCCTGAAACAAAAGTAGGGTAAATTGTAGCGGGTTTGCAAAAATGCCAATAGAAATGTTTTTGGCAGGATGTTTTAGTAAACGAATTCATATTTCATTTACCTGTGAAATTCTACATGCAATGCACACATGTGCAAGTACGCTGGGAGACATCAATGCCCTCCCATCCTGCACAGGCGATGCCGTATCTGCAGGGGAGGCATTCATGTCCGCCATTGTACACTGGGAGATATCAATGCCCTCCTATCCTGCACAGGCGATGCCGTATCTGCAGGGGAGGCATTCATGTCCGCCATTGTGCATAAATGGTATTTAACACGGTAGACATTCAAATAAAATATTCCTTACGACTGTACGTAATTATTAGTGACAATTTTTTAACGTACCCCGAACGTAGGTATAAACAACTGTTGCAAGCTTAAATTCATAATGTCTCAGTTATATGCCCATTACTTAGGGCATGTTCTTAAATATCCTAGTGGTACAATTTAATCGAGGGTACGACATCCCCTACTTTATCCTACCCCCAGAATTAACAACACGCACCATTACATTATCCAGAAATACGGTAAACTATTTACTGAGCGACAAATAAGGCGTACTTTAGTTAACTGTGAGACACGGTTGCTTTTTCTGCAATTTCCTCCGTGACGGACCAGACTGGCCGGATGTAGGAACGATCAAAGTTCACAGGTTCGCGAGTAACGGAGTGATAATCGGCAAAAAATGGAGAATCCCCGTGGAATCGGGTCGAGGTCGCGGACATTTTATTTCGGCACGAATCGCCGTTCTGTGTCATGGTGCCGTTATTTTGTCACCGGCGTAAATCCGATCTACGCCTGGAGGCTCCTCGATTTATTCGTCTCTATCGCGGATATCCGATGAGGAAAAATTCCAATTCGTATTTTACGCCGCTGATTGGTCATTTATTCGTTCAGATGCAATTGACAAATAAGGTTCGCCACCTAATCTGGCGTTGCACAAGGCAGAAAATCAGCGGCGCAGAGTTGCACGTGCAAAGCTCCGCACAGAGGAGACTGGCCAGTCTCGAAGAAACAATTCGCACGCCATAAATCGTGGTCTGCAATAATTAATTCAGACACGTCTGAATAGTCGTTGCGCTTGCTAAGCGGAGTGTGCGTGTAAGCGCAAAAAGGGCCGTCCGTGGTTTCTCTCGGAAACGAGACGAGCATGAGTTAGTGCTCTCTTCTGGTGTAATTGCCTGCGTGTAATTTTATTTTGTCACTCAGCTAGGGATGTCGCACACACACAAGGAGCGACGTAGTGTGCGAGGCCCCTTTCACGCCGTTTATCACGAGCGATTTCGAGATAATCGAGAGCATAGAAGGCCAAAGAGAAGTCGGAATGCCCCTCGGTTGCGAGGTCAATTTTTCATCGCGGAAAACCGACGAAACGAAAATCTTCATCCGCATTAGAAACGCGCGAAACCCCCGGAGGCATAAAAAAAATACAGATTGTATACGTTGCAAAATGATGGCGACACGAAATAAGCGCAACGAGCTTCACGAAGGTTCACGTGGAGGGTCGGAAAAGTAATTGCTTCGCCCCGTAGACCGAATCGATTTTAATTTCACATTCACACGTGCGAGATGTGTATGCGTTTACGGTCGTCGTGCTCTCTATGGCGAAATCAAGGGTCCGAAGATGTATGATGCAATTCCCGATCGTATAACCGTATAATAATCGCGTTACACCATGCACAGTTCACCCTGGGGAACAGGTTGTAACGTTCATTTTTTTTTTCTCTCCTCCTTACTTTCGAGAGGTTAAACGAGTGCCATACAAGGTGAACAATTCTTTGGATAAGCCCCGGCGTTGCTTAAGGCCGTCGAGAAGCCGATGCCCCTAACGCGACTGATGCGCATTTGATTGCGCTAACCGAGCCTCTCTTGAAAATAAGAGAGTCCCCTCGGCGCTAAAGATTGTACTCTCGAGGTCTGCAACTCACGCTACGGCGAGCGATCTTCTTTTTCTGAGGAGCCGCGAAATCCGCAGACTCATCGGCAATTCCGAATAATGTCTATCGCGACATCAGGGACGACCTTTAAGCGATTATGCATCCTGGAGAGGACGTTATGACGGTGGCATATGGCGTATTGATTTTCCTTTATGGCAACCATGAAACCAGGGTTTAACGGTGGATTTTACCCCCCAAGAAGCGCATGCTAGGGATTCGCCAAAAAATAGCGAAATCCTTAACAGTTGCATGGAAACCGAATTGCGCGAGTACTGGTCATATCTCGAACCCCTTTATTCGGAGCAAACTATTGTGTTTAATAATGCGCATCTGATTACGCGAATGGTGAATGACGTAGGGGTTCGAACGATCTAATCTATATGGACGCGCCCTAAAAAGCATTCGCCACCCCTGCACAGAGTTACCCTCTATTTTTCAATGCATCTTAATCCCTTCAACGCTAGCCGAGGGGCTGATTTAACAGATGCGAACCCGGGCCTGTACTCAACTCCGCAACTCGTTCCCCGAAGGCAATTACCAATTATAATTAAATCAATTAACAAAAATCCGCACAGCCTAACGAAGCTGATTCCTTAAGGCCCCTTTGCTCGTCGCCGCAGTGCGCAAACTTCGCGATCGATGCGGAAGAGGCCTGTAGGAAACTGCAAACGTGCATCTTCGTAACCAGGAAAAGGGTGCCGCGGTAATAAGAAACTCATCGGAAAGTCTTTACGCAACGGAGATTTTATTTTCCTTAACATAACATTGGTAGGTTCCTTAAGTAACAACGTATGAACAGGAAATTTCTTCATTCGAGGGAGGTCGGACGTTCTCGGACGCGATCAGCTGGGCCGCGAATCGTCACTGAGGCAAGAGGGGAAGGCGACCTTACGGGAGGCGCGCCGAGGCGACACTGGCGCCCTCTGGCAGGGCCGACGGAAACCGCCGGAAGGAGCGGCCCACCCACGCGTGGCTCAAAGGGGAACGCAGAGAGCACCCGACAGGTGCGTATAGGTGCCATTCCGGGTTTTATGGTTGGTCCGTGGCGTGCCTCGTCCCCTCTTCCCGGGCGAGCACCACCTCCGGCTCGTATCTCGGCGCTAACTTACGACAAGGAGGTTCTGGTACGCGGTTGTCTCTATACATGAAATACTGCACGAGAGGTAATAGTGCAATGAAATAGGGAACGGAGAGCCAGGGACCAAGAGCGGACCCGATGCGATATATATATTTATCGACTGGAGAACCGCCGGTTGAGTTACGAGCCACCTACCCCGCGCCCCTCGTCCTTCCCTTTATTGTTCTTTTCATGGCGCGATGCAATTATGACGAGCATCGCGAGCGAGTGGATCTTCAAACGGCGATTCGTCGCGACGAATGGATGGGAATCCCTCGATGCGATTCCTATCTCGAGACCGTCCCAGCCATTCGTCACGTGATCCCGAAGTTTACGATCCGCGAGGAATTCCCTAGGAATTTAGAAACCAGCCTTTCGATCCGATAGCGATTTCCGGTAGAAAAGCTCGAGATAACGAGGACCCTATCGCCGCTACCGACGTAACGCGTCGCGCGGGTGTCCACAGGCTCGAAGACAGGACTTTCGTTCCACGAGGCTGAATTTAGACAGGGACACCTCGCATAAATACGTCCAGGTGAGCTCAGGTGAGCCCAGGTGAGCGGTTACCTGCGTTCGGCGTCGTACTCGCGTGGGAGAGTCAAACCTCGCAATGGATTCGACTCCTTCCGCCCTCTCATTTCGGAGAGAAAAAGAGTCCCCCTCAAAATGGCCGCGTTTTCTCGGGCGGTAAATTCGAAGTTCCACGTCTCGGTGCACCCGGTACGACCTGGCGAAAAGTGTATCGGGCACTTCTGGATTTATGTCGGCTGGGTGGAAAGTCAACGGGGTCGGAATTCCCGCGGTGCATCCGTGGGATTCGGGGGGGAATTTCTCGCGAGGATTACCGATCGGACTTGTGATCCCCGTTCCCAAGTACAAAGCTAACACGGCGTCTAATTCCATCTGTCCCAGATGCATCTCTCGATACTTTATGCACGGCCGTGACAGCGCAATTTCACCGGAACCATTACCCGAGGACGATCGAGGAAGTCTCCTCGGACCCACCGTCCTGGGACGAAGGAAGGTTAGGCAAAAACCCAGAAGAGGAAGACACCGGGGACTCTCTAAATCCGGACCAGGAGACGTTTCTCCCGTCTCGAATCCTCGGTTTGACATTTCCCTCAGGCAGGAAGGCACGACCGGGAAGGTTCCGCCGTTCTTTCATTCGCGATGCAAATATGCCCGGTGCGACTTTATCGTTTTTACTCCTAGACGAAGAGGAGTCGAGGTTTCGTCGTACTCGCACAGCCGTTGTCTAGCTTCGTGGCGGGTCGAGGAAAGGCCGGGCAGGAACGATCGCGATCTCGAGGAAGCGGGTCGTTTCGGAACGACGGTCTCGTATTTGCATAGAGACGCGATGCGCCGCATCGTCGGATGCTGGGGAGGCATCAAAGGTCGCCTCGTTACCGGCTGCGATTCCGGACGACCGGGCGACCGTGTTCTCCGCCATTTTCCCATGAGCCGACCTATAAAACCGGGTCGCGATCTCTCCGGGTGATAGGCCGCGGAATCGGCGCATATGCGCCTTACCGACATCGCCGACATCGCCGAGCTGGCCGATATCGTTGACGTTGCCGACAGAGGCGGAGAGATCGTCGAGGCCGGGAACCTCGGAAGAGGTCGCGTGGGCGCCGATCTGTACCGATCTATGTCGGTCGTGCCCGTTTTTCGCCTCGTTACGTGCACTCCACCTTTTCGGAGCCCTCGAGTCAGCTGATGCGAGGGAACTTTTAGGGGGCCGCAGGCAAGAAACGCGGTTTCCTCGTTTCCTTCCTGGCCGACGCAGTTTCAGCGAAAAAGTGAAAGTTTATACTCGGAGGGGTATCTAGCGGTTTCTGGATTTATGGCCCGTTTTTCAAGCAGCGTGATCTATGCCGACTCGCGGCCTCCCGCGCGAGGTCCTGCGCG